GAGGAGGAGGAGGAGGAGGAGGAGGAGGAGGAGGAGGAGTGGGGCGGGAAGGAGGAGGAGGAGGAGGAGGAGGAGGAGGAGGAGGAGGATGAGGGGGAGGCGCGGCAAGGAAACTCTAGGGTGCAATTATATGTTGCCCACTAACTGTTTTGGGGGGGAAACATGTAGAATAACTAACACCTGAGTGGCATCAGTGAGGCAACTTCCCACAGCGGTTGGCGCTGCAGGTGAAACTCACACGGGCCTCGGTCCGCCCTGAAACTGGGATGTGCCAATGAAGGGGGCGATGGCACCGCAATACTCTCACAGTTAACCCCCGCTGGGAAACGAACTAGGGCGTTTGTTTCGACATGCTGGGAGGAGGAGGAGGAGGACGAGGAGGAGGAGGAGGAGGAAAAGTGGGGCGAGGAGGAGGAAAAGGAGGAGGAGGAGGAGGAAGAGGACCAATGTAAACACAAAACGCATCAGCGATGTTGGAATAAACCTTCCCGCGAAGCTACCATTTCAAGGGCCACTACAACGGTTCCTATCCACTGAAGGAACTGCCTCTTTGGAAGACAACCGTTTGAAGACCCTGAACCATGCCAAAAATTCTCTCGGGATTCCAACGCCACGGATCAACCTGACTGTTGCGTCTTGGTAATCCTGAGTCGTGCCAGGACGCCATCCCAGGGACTTCAACACAACGAACCACCATAACTGTTGCACCCGCATGACCCTGGATCCGTTCAAAACACCATGTTACGCTGACTGTTACAACGAATGTGCGCCGCGCTAAAGCGAGAACCACATGTTGAAAAGGAACCGCCCTCAATCCATGAAGCTCTCGCATATGTTTAAAACGATTGTGCGCCGCGCTTGGGCGAGAGCCACATTATGAACGGCCCGCCCTACGTCTGTGAAGCTGTTGTCGATGTTTTGGCTATAGAGTCATACGCCCGGCCCGCCCTAAAAACTGGCCTCGGGGTGCGGCAGGGGGAAATTATGTATAAGGAAGAGGAATGGAGGAGGAGGAGGAGGAGGAGGAGGAGGAGGAGGAGGAGGAGGAGGAGGAGGAGGAGGAGTGGGGCGAGGAGGAGGAGGAGGAGTGGGGCGAGGAGGAGGAGGAGTGGGAGCGGGGCGTAGAGGGCGCTGGCGTGCTCGGGTGGCCGCGCTCCGCCCACCGAGAGAGGCGGGGCTCCGCCGCCCCCGGGGGCCTCGCGGCGCCTCGCCCGCGCGGCACGCCCGAGGAGCGCGTCCCGTGCGGCGGCGGGCTCTATCCGGCCCTCTGCGCGGCTTTCCTCGTCATTCGCATTCGTATAAGTGTTGTTACTATTATTCGTCTCAGCATTCGTCTTCTTCATACCATTAGTATGCTTAGTAATGGTATGATTACTATTATACGTAGTAGTAGTGTTCTTATTACTCTTACTCTTCTTGTTAGTATTATTATTGATGGTATGCCTCCTCCTCTTCTTATTGTTATTCGTGTGTTTCCTCCTCCTTCTCTTCCTCATGTCCCTCCTCCTCCTCAAGATATCCCTCCTCTTCTTATCATTAACTATTCGTACTAATGTTATTCCTCCTCCGTTTCCTCTTCTGAGTTTTCTCTTTCGTCTTGTTATTATCATGATGAGTTGTATCAGTATGGTTTTCTCATTGTGATTGTTCCACATTACTATTCGCCGTCTTATTCATGTAATGAGTCTTGCCCGTCGTTCTTATTGTTATTATTTGTATTCGTCTTCTTCTTCTTCTTCTTCCTCCTCCCCCTCCTCCTCCCCCGCGGCGCGGCTTCGAGCCGCTGCTCCGGGCGCTCGGGCGGCCCCGGCGTCGAGCGGCTCTCCTTGACTGCTCGGCCAGGGCGCCCGCGACGCCCAGCCCCGGAACTGCAGCGCTTAGCCTCGGGCGCCGCCGGGGGGGAGCAGCTGCTGGGCGATCGCGGCGAGTTGCCTGGCCTTTCGCGGGAGATGCCAAAGTGCGCGCTTTCTGGCTCGGCGTCTCTCGCCACTGGGCGGAAAGGGGGGGGGGAGGAGGGGGGTCTGGCTCCAGACCATTGTTTAGCGCGACTGTTTGGAATCGCGCGCCCTCCTGGGGGAGACCCCACCTGCTTGAAACAGGCGCCCAAAATCGCCAAGACCTACTCCATGGGGAGGGGGGAGGGGGGGTGCGAGCGCCCGCGCCAATCGGCAAAACAAGAAACAAGAAAACAGCGGCAAAACCATGCAGAGTGAGTGCATACGGAGTGCTCGGTCTCCGTCTGGGCCTACTCCGTCTGGACTAAGCCTCTCCTATTGGGATGCCAAGTCCATACGGAGTGCGTCCATGCGGAGTGCTCGGCCTCCGTCTGGGCTTACTCTGTCTGGACTTAGCTTCTCCTGACCTTCTCGATCAGGGCGCCCGCGTCGTCCAGCAGGAAGTTGGAGCGGGGGGCCCTGGAATCCACGATGCACAGCGTGCCGATGAACTCCGTCCCCTCGCACAGGAGGGGAGCGGCCGCGTAGAAGCGGGCGGCCCAGTCCAGCGGCGGCGGCAGGGTGGTCCTCCTGTGGACCTCGTCCTTCTGTACGTCGTCGATGATGACGGGTAGCGCCCACGGGATGTTAGGAGGCGATTCCTGGGAGGCCTTCGATGAAACGATTAAGCGCGATTGAGCCCGATTAGAAGGCCACTTCACCGGATTGGGCCAAACTAGGCCTGGGAGTAAGCAAGATTAACGGGATTACGCGGGATTTAGCCGGAATAATCAAAATTAAGCCGGTTCGACCGCGGAAATTCCAGTGCCGAGACAGAATTGAACCTCCCAGGACTTGCATCCCAAGGGATGGTGTGGTTGTAGAGCTGGTAGTCGTGCCCGCGACTGTACTCCCAGGCGCGGGGGGTGTCGATCGTGCCTGAGAGTGCGCCCGCCTTGAAACACAACTCGCCGTGGGCCCTCCACGTGAGGATGCAGTGGTCGACGCCGTAGTGGTGGGCCACCTCGTCCATGATCTCCTCTATCTGGCAACTGTGCTGGGCCGCGTTCCCAAACCCTGGGCACTCCGAGAAGATGGCTCGACGGTGCCCAGCCCGACTTCGGTCGGTTTGACTCTCTTTGACCACACCGCCTCCCAGGGCAACTGATGCGCCCGCTGTGATGGAGGGGTCTGCGCCAACTCTAGCAGGCGCAATCTCTTTGGCAGTGCCAGACTCGCCTGATTCATCGGCACAAACAAGTCTCATCTCGTTTCGACTGCGGGTAGCTTCACAACGATCCATTCTGTAGCGGTCAACGTAAGTCATGTTCAACGTCGGTGTGGACACTGATGCGGCCTTGCTGGACCTCATGGTGGATGACCGCTGGCGGTCCAGCTACAACCAGGTACTACAAGCCAAACGCCCCGAACCAAAATAGCTGCAGACGATTCGGCCTCCTCCTCCTGCTCTCCATCGACTCCCGCCTCGTCTGCTACAGTCAACCCGTAGAGTAAGGACCCACGATAAGAACGATAAGAATGCAGGGGCCTTGAAGTCAGTGTCGACACTTTGCGAGCGGGGCGCGGCCAGCGAAAGGGACCAAGGATGGGCCCCGGGGGGAAGTATGAAAGGGCAACCTTGAATAGTTGCTTCATCAGTACGACGCGGGTTCACCGTATCTCTCGCTCTCGCTCTCTCTTCCTCTCTCTATTTCTCTGTGCGTGCCTCTCCCTCGTCCGCGTCCTCGTCCTCATCCCCGTCGTGGTTCTGATTCTCGCCCTCGTCTTCGTCGTCGTCGTCGTCGTCCTCGTCTTCGTCCTCGTCCTCGTGGACATCGTCGTCCTCGTCCTCGTCCTCGTTCTCGTCGTCCTCGTCCTCGTCGGCCTCGTCCTCGTCCTCGTCGTCGTCGTCCTCCTCCTCCTCGTCGTCGTCGTCCTCGTTGTCCTCGTCCTCGTCGTCGTCGTGGTCGTCGTCGTCGCGCAGAGCGCTTCGCGCTCTGCGCGACGACGACGCCCACCCCAGTGAGGAGGAGGAGGACGAGAATGAGGGTCAACGATAGGGGGCGACAGGCATAGGAGAGGAAAGTCGACCTGGAATCGGCGATACATCGCCGATAGGTCGGCGATAGACTCCAGATAGTGAATCCGCACGTTCCTGGTCAGGTTGGGGCTATCGGGCCCCTATCGGCGATCGATGGGCGATTGGGGGTCGATGCGTCCCCCTGTCCCCCCCATCGTTGCCCCTGAGAGGAGGAATTGGAGCCGAACCGCGAAGCGCGAAGAACTTCGCACCCTCGAGGGCGCCCTTGCGTCCAGCCGGACCTAGGCCAGAAGAACATCCCTCAGGAACGTGAGACCCTCCGCTGGCCAAACAAACACACAGAACATCCGGAACCATCCCCAGGATGCACAAGAGCATCCAACAAACGCGAAGAACATCAGGGCACCCTCCTCGAACCGGCCTCGATCTTATACCTCGGTCCGACTGCAGCGCACGAGACTGCGGGCTCCTCGCCATCCTGCCACTTGGGAAACACCAAGGCACAGGCACCGACCCTCCCCAGACCTCTTCAGGGGCACACTCCTGACAGGACCTTTGAGGAGAATCCAACCGCGGAGACGGGGGCCTCCCAGGAGACCCAAAAAGGCTACAGCAGAGGAGGAGAAAAGCACATAAACATAAGCTGTTGGCGCTCCGCGCGGATTTCTTGGATCCGCGCCGGGCCCCCCTCCCTGACGCGCAGAGCGCGCAAAAGGCGGCGCCGAAGCGGCCCAAGCGCAGATCCAAGAGATCCGCGCGGAGCGCCAACAAAAGCTCACACCCTGCGAAATGCTTAAGAAATCATGGGTTAAGAAATTCATCGTCTCAGAATTTGAAAAAAAAGCCGGAACTTCTATCAAAATCTTGGGATTTTCACTGAAACGTTAAGAATTATCGAGACTCTGGCCGAAAACTTAGGTTTTCTTAAGCATCGCCTAGGGTGTATGCTCATGTAGTTTTTTCTTCGTCGATGCAAGGAAGGGCTGCTTATCCCTCTCCGAAATGCAGGCGGCGGGCGCGCCGGCCTGCCAGACTGGCGCCAGGTGCACGCAGTGTGGGCAGTCCTTGGCCTGGGGGAGCGTCGCTCGGCGGAGGTGTCGCTTCCGGATGTGAGAGGCGCGAACGTCATGAGGAGGAGGAGGAGGAGGAGGAGTAGGAAGAAGAGGAGGAGGAGGAGGAGGAGGAGGAGGAAGAAGAGGACTCTTCTGGACCCTGCTGCGAAGCCACGCACGTAGCAACACCTGGCTTTCCGAGAAGGCCCATCTCATGTTCCTTGGTTTCGTCCTCGGATGCCTCCTCCGTCTGCCTCATCTGGCTATGCTTCCCTCGTCGTCGTCGTCCTTCCCCCTTGTTCCTCCTCCTCCTCCTCCTCCACCTCCATCTCGCCCTCCAGCTCCTACTCGTGCTGGTCAGTCTGACTCCCCTCCTCTCCCTCCTCCCATCATCCTGAGCGAATTAAACATGGATCTTAGCCAACTCCTTTTCTCGTTCGACCATCATGATCTACTGTCCCAGGTTGAACAGGCACGACCACCCTGTTTCCACTGGCATCTAGACTCTGGACAGGTAAAGGAAGAAGAAGGGAAGAACGCACCGTCTCCTTCCCGTCTTCAGCCTCCCGTGGTCCCCGCCGTGCTGCGGCTATCTCTGGTGGCACTTGCATAAGACATGTGTTACTCCTGGGATCCAGGTGTCCTGTAAAAACCGCCACCGGCGACAGCGCCAGAAGGGAAGGGAGGAAGGGAGGCGCCTGGGAGGTAGGCCTGGACCCGTCATCGCTCGGACGTCCATTCCTTGTGCATTTTTCGATTGCGCGCGTGCACGTTTCGCAAGATGCTCCAAGATGTTCCCCGATGGTCCGCGCCCAGAAAAAATGCACGCGAGCGATGCCAAGGGCAGTCGAGGAGGGGCAAGGGCCTGAGAGATGCGTGTCCGAAGCACATTGGCCAGGGTCTGAAGCCTGCCCACTCTCAGATCCGCCACCATGCGGTAGACACTGATCCGGTGGATGTCCACGGGGGGGCGGGGTTGCAGGAAAATGGCCCTGAAGTGGCCAGGTGCAGATTGCATTTGGGGTGGAGTTGCGCGAGTTCGTCGCCGCTTACCTGGTGTCAGCGTCGGACCTGTGGACGGGAGTGGGCGAGGACGTCTTCGCAAAAATGCTTGTTCCAGCAAGGTGCGGGGCACGGTGCGGGGCCTCGACGCTTGCATGGCCGTCGCGCACACGCTGCGTTAACGGTGCACTGCTCAGTGTCCTTCAGCACCCATCACGGACACAACCACGCTCAATTCGCGCATTGGAAATGGTTGGCCATTATTTGAGCAGGGGCGACTGTCCCGGCATTCCTATAAGGCTACCACGACATGTTCGTAGAACCTGACATAAACAAGGATCTTAGAACATGGAGCCGATATGCTAAAACAAGACAGTCTCAACCAGAAATGCTCTAATCCGCCGGCCCCCTTGCAGGGCCATCAGGCTGCGAGGCTTAGATTTGCTGCCCCCTGCACCAGTTCCAGTTTCCAGTTTCCAATCTTACAGTGCTGCTCTCTGCTTCTTACTGTAAATGTTGTATGTCCGCGCGAGGGGGGGAACCGAAAAGGACCCTGGCTAGCGTCCCCGAATCGCGTGTTCGCATTTCTGGGAGGCCGCGGGGCGCGTAAAAATACATGGAATTCGCGCTCCCGACGCAGTAATCCCTTGTCAATTACAATGTACTCGCGTCCCCGAGGCTAAGATCCCTTGTCAATTGCCTCGTATTCGCGTCCCCGAAGCCACGATCCCTTTGTGAAATACACAATGTTCACGCTCCTGAGGCCACGATCCCAAAAACAATTACTCCGCATTCTCGCCTCTAGCCTCTGGGGCCACGATCCCCCGAAAATTACCAGCGTCGCGCAACCGAGGCTAACATCCATTTACAATTACGCCACATTCGTGCCCCCGAGGCCACGATCTCCCGTAAATTATACCACACTCACGCCCCCGAGGCTACGATCCCGAGTAAATTACGCCGCATTCGCGCCCCCGAAGCCACGATCCTTTGTAAATCGCGCCGCACTCGCGCCCCCGAGGCCACGATCTCTTACAAGAGGCCCCAAGAGGCGCCCAAGACGCGCCCAAGAGGCCTCGAAGAGGCCCAGAAGATACCCCACGAGGCCCCCAAGAGGCGCCCAAACCGCTTCCAAGAGGCCCCCGAGAGGCTCCCCACGACACCCGAACACATATACAAAAGGCTTCAGACCCACAACAAAGGCACGTTGGCGGGATGGGCCGAAGGCCACTAGGATCCGCCGCCCCTAGGTTTTGGTTTTGGTTCTTTTTCCAAAAGAACTCCCCCTGGGGCTTCGGCCCGTCCCGCCGGCAACCCAGAAGACGCCCAATTCCCCAATTTCCTGCCCAAGACGGCTCCAAAAACGCCGTTTCGCTCGGGACATCCTCAACAAATCGCGAAGAGGCCAATATCATTGATAATCTTTCGGTTTTTGAAGGATTTTGGAATTTGCTTCTTCTCGGCATTCCGACGGCTCAAGACGGCCCAAGAGGCCCCCAAGATCGCCCAAGAAGCCCCCAAGAGGGCCCCATGACGGCCCAAGTGGCCTCCAAGATGGCCCCAAGAGGGCCCAAGAGGCCTCCAACACGCCCAAGATGGCCTCCAAGACGCCCAAGATGGCCTCCAAGACAGCCCCGAAGCGCCCCAAGAGGGTCCCCCGTTGGCCCAGAAAGGCCCCCAAGACGGCTCCCGGCGGCGTCAGACGTGCCAGGAACCCACCAAGATGGCCGAAGTTGGCTCGAAGCTGGCCCAAGACGGCACAAGAGGCCCCCCAGAGGGCCTCCGGGAAGGCCAGAAGAGGCCAAAAACATTGATTTGCCTGAGGATTTTGACGGATTTTGGCATTTCCTTCTTTTCGGCCTTCCGACGGCCCGAGACGGCCCAAGAGCCCCCAAAGATCGTCGAAAGATCGCCCAAGAGGCCTCCAAGACGGCCAAGATGACCTTCAAGATGCCCACGTGTTCCCCGAAGGCTTTCCAAACCGATTCGGGGAACACATGGTCCGATGGCTTGGCAGGTCTGGCCTCAACGTTCGGCCACATAGGCGCTTCCAGAAAGGCAGGGGGCGGTGGTGACTCGCCGTAGGCGTCTTCGATCCGCCGCCCCCTGTCGATTCATCGCAGGGGTGCCCGGCGTGCTGAACCCTCTAGGTTTCGGTTTTGGTTTTTTTCCAACAGAACTCCCCCTGGGGCTTCGGCCCGTCCCGCCGGCCACCCGGAAGGCGCTCAATTCCCCGATCTCGTCGGCTTTTTCGCTCAAGATGGCCGAAGATGGCCTCCAAGATGCCTCCCAGACGGCCAAGATGGCCTCCAAGACGGCTAAGATGTCCCAATATGCCTTCAAGACGGCCCAAGATGCACCCAAGACCGCCTAAGATGGCTTCAAGGTAGCCCAAAACAGCCCAAGAGGCCCCTAAAGAGGCCTCAAGGACAGCCCAAGAGCCCGTCGAGAGGTTCTCCAAGAGGGCCCGAAGAGACCAAAATCATTGATTTTCCATGAGTGTTGAAGGATTTTGGAATTTGATTCTTCTCGGCATTCCGACGGCTCAAGACGGCCCAAGAGGCCCCCAAGATCGCCCAAGAGGCCCCCATGACGGCCCAAGTGGCCTCCAAGATGGCCCCAAGAGGGCCCCAAGACGGCCCAAGAGGCCTCCAACACGCCCAAGATGGCCTCCAAGACGCCCACGATGGCCTCCAAGACGGCCCCGAAGCGCCCCAGGAGGGTCCCCCGTTGGCCCAGAAAGGCCCCCCAGACGGCTCCCGACGGCGTCAGACGTGCCAGGAACCCACCAAGATGGCCGAAGTTGGCTCGAAGCTGGCCCAAGGCGGCCCAATAGGCCCCCAAGAGGGCCTCCAGGAAGGCC